ACTTAAAACGCTCATATTATTAAATAAACCGACGATTACATTAGTGTTCGGAACATTTCTGCGAATTTCTGTCATTTTTGATGATTGTCAGTCTTGACTATTTTGCTCAGTATAGAATATTTGAACAAATATTTGGACATGTTTGAACACAATATGGAACGATTATTGTTATTGCCGTAATGTATTTCAATTATTATAACACCATAATGTCTATCGTCTTCGCCAAAACTGTATAGAACACACAATCTAGGGTAGCATTTACAATACAGTGCTGGCCAAAACTATAATTCCACCCTGGAAACTGCCGTAACTCATCTGCTTCTCAACGAATTGATCTGAAATTTGGTACAGTTGTGTGTTTAACAGGCTACCTTCAGTAACCAGAACGGATCCCGTTTTTGTTTGATTATTCAGGAAAAAATCAAAAATTTCGAAAAAAGCAGGCTTGAAGGTTGGCCAAAACTATAATTCCACCTAAGGTTTCTCCACCAAAGTAATTCTCAGCTTCCAAAGTATTTTGTGCATTTACATAACCAAAAGTCAAAACACTCGCTTCAGTTCAGCTGTGTTATACTTTTATAAAAAATGTTCATCTGCTTTTTTTGCTTAAAAATACTTTCATGCGTATCTCGTTCCCAAGAATGTGTTTTTATGGGTAGTCTCGCAATTTTTTGACTGGTTTGGGAGCGATTGGGCTCCACCTATCTTATAGATGCTTAGCGAAGTGAGAACTAGAAAAAAAATTGGGATTTTCATATTTAAAGCGCACTCGACATAGACCTTACAGCAAGCCTGCGCTCAAATTTTTCCTCGAAAATTGGTTTATGTTGTTTTTGTAAGCTCAAAATGATGTAAAGCATCGTTTACATAAAAAGAAGCTTGTACACTATACTTGCGATTGTTGGCCAAGTCACATTTTGCTTCGTTTTCAAAGTATAAATCTTCGCGGTTCAATGATAATATTTAGGCAATCCCAAAACACTTACCAAGTGGTACTTTTCCTGATTTTTTGCCACTATTTAGCTTTTAGATAGTGAAAACACCCTGCATTGTAGATGCCTTGTGACTCACATGAACATTACGATCAGAACCAAGAATAAGTTTAAGGCTTTTTGCAAATCAGTTTTGCAGGATGAAGTCCCCAATTAGCCTGCATGCTAAAACCTGCGGAAATCTGTAACCACTGCATTCGGACTCTCATACGTACAAGCAATGTTATTACTCTACTTTACGCTCATGAACATTGCAGGAGTTTGAGGGCATAAATCTGAGCGCAGGCCTGCGGTTAGCTCTATGTCGGGTGCCCTTTGAGTATGAAAGCTCCGATTTGTTTCTAGTTCTCACTTCGCTAAGCATCTATAAAATAGATGCAGCCCTATCCCCTCCAAATCAGTTAAAAAACTGTGAAATTACTCATAAAACACATTCTTGGAAACGAAATACGCATGAAAGTATTTTTAAGTGAAAAAAGCAGATAAACATTTCTTATAAAAGTGTAACACGGCTGAACTAAAGCGACTGTTTTAACTTTTGATTATGTATATGCACAAAATATTTTGGAAGCTGAGAATTACTTTAGTGGACAGAAACCTTGGGTGGAATTATAGTTTTGGCCAACCTTCAAGCCTGCTTTTTTTGAAATTTTTGATTTTTTCCTGAATAATCAAACAAAAACGGGATCCGTTCTGGTTACTGATGGCAGCTTGTTAAGTACACAAATGTACCAAATTTCAGATCAATTCGTTGAGAAGCAGATGAGTTACGGCAGTTCTCAGAATGGATTTACAGTTTTGGCCAGCACTGTATTTGGGCGGGTATGTGTCAATCTCCCGCTCGGGTAAGTGTTCCCGTACAGGTCCTAATCCAGGCAGTTGCGGGCTTCCAAGGCCCAAGATTCGCGGGCGTGAGTGCCTGACAGTGCAAGCCCGAGCATACCTTCGATACTTTAAAGATAAGAAGTCAAAAGTGATGATTGTTTGAGCATATCCCCACGTTAAACAGTAAAAGTTGTTTTCAGGAAACTCAAGAGGGGAAAAAGTTGGAAAAAAATTAGCGAAAGCAGAAGCTCTTGAAAACCTAATACGCCGCAATCAGTTTGAAATTCTTCGTTTGGCGGCAATTCGAATTGCAGTTTTCGCTGCAAAACCAGGCAATCCACAGCACGGGAAATGAGGGAAATCTAGTTACTTCTTTGTGATTGTTTTAAAACAAAAATGTTTTGGAAGTGTTGATTATCAAGAAAAAGTAAACGAAAACCCTTCAGTTATGAGAACGCAAAGTTTTGTTTTTTCTTAAGTCGAAAGCACGTCAAAGACAATCTGGTTTTTGATGTATCCTTTTAATCTTTACCCCCTTTTCGTAGCTTCTGCCTTTGGCGACGCTCTCGGCTTTGTTGTGCTCATAATCTTGAGCAAAATGCCCCCAAGCAGGTAAGAAATGGTTGCTTATTAACTGCGATGAAGGTCTATGAACAAAAACACGCTTTTTGCAGCTTTGTGCTAGATATTTCACCACAATCGAAGAAATTACCCGCGCGACATTTCTGCATTATGAACGGAAGCAAGATCTATGGAATGCACAAAAACCCGCTTGAGAAGAGCTAAAGTGAATAAAAAACAAGGAATTTTGGGAAACACGGTTTTTGCCAGATTTCCCGTTTATATCAAAAAATGGAGTTCTGCGACGTTCTCAGCGTAAAAGTGGAGATCAAGAGCTTCAATGTGCTATCAATTTGCTAGGATTAATTTGAAAACAACGAAGAGTAGGGTACCAGAGCCAAATGCCCCACGCCCCGCGTTTGGGGTAGCGAAGTAACGCGCAACGCGCGGAGGCGCAGAAGATCAGCGGAGACAGACCAGAACCGACGTGCCATTTGGCAAATCAACTTCACAACGAGATAAACCAGCATTTAAATGGCGACTCTCTGCGAAGTTAAGCGCATTTTCTCTTTTTATTAACCTCCAACAGCTTCCTAACACTCAGCGTAGTCTATAAGAAGGTCAAATGAAAGTTATCGTCCTAAATCCTAAGCGAGTTTTAGATTAAAAACCTTTTTTTTAAGCAAAAAAAGCTACAAAGTTGTGTGAAAAAGATCGTCTCTTTGATTGGATGGCCGAAAAGTTAGGGTGCCTTCATACCGCGCCGGCAGCCGCCGCTAGCAGCCCGTAGCAGCCGCCAGCAGCCCGTGGCAGCCGCCAGCAGCCCGTAGCAGCCGTAGCAGCCCATAGCCGCCGCTGGTCGCCCTCGTTACGGGAGCAAAATCGTCAGAATCTTACTGCTTCGAGTGCTCCTGTCTACGCTTTTCATCTTCTACGCTTATTCCTTCTTATTACCGCTAATATGCAGTTCAACCCCCCCCCCCCCACAATACATTTGTGTTCATTGTTCTGTTCCGCACATTGTATCCTATCGCGCTCACATTTTTTTTGCAATATGTCTTATTTGAATCGATTGTGAGCGATAATCAAAGCCAGAAGAACTCAACCCGCAAATAAATTCCGGCGAACTTGCGAAATAGTAGAATACAAGTTAGGTATGCACCGATAACCAACAAAAAATTGAGCAAAAGCATACTCAAAAAACAAGTTGCACACCTGCAGGAACCGGACGCATCCAAAGGCGGGGCGAATTACAGCGGAAAGAATCTTCTGCGAACTATGGGGAGGATACAGGATGACCATACGGCGAGAAGGTAATGACAACAATGGACACATATATGAATGTGATCGAACTGCATACTGACGGCAACAAAGGAAAAAGCGTAGGCAGGAGCACTCAAAGTAGTAAGATTCTGATAACTTTGCTTATATAACGAAAGGGCCAGCGGCGGCTACGGGCTGCTACGGGCTGCTGGCGGCTGCTACGGGCTGCTAGCGGCGGCTGCCGGCGCGGTATGAAGGCACCCTTAGCAAATCGAATGACTCAATCGCTTGTCATCGAGTAAGATTCAGTAATTGTTTCTTGCAAGTGACTTGTCTGTTTCGACAATTGATTTGATTTGATCTTGAGATTCATAAGAAATCCAGAGCCCGGATTGAAGAGATCGGGCTTTGGACTTTTGTAAACTTCATATCAAATCAAACCTCAAATTTAACAAGTCTTTGCAACGTAACAATTATTACCCTAATGCGCTATAAGACGCACCTTTTTCGGTTTTTCAAGCGTGCCGCTCAGCCGCCTCGTTGTGTTTCGGAAAACGAGACGAGACTTAAGCCGCACGATACTCTTAGGCAATATTTAGCACTGTATATAGTTTTTAGATCACGAACTCCTTCGGTGTTCTGTGATGTTTGATTTTAGAAAGAAAATCCCCTGCGTCCTATAGCGTAAAATTAGGGTATCTTACTCATTATTTAGTAAATAAGTCGCTCGATTTGCTAACGCTTTCGGTCACTTAAACAAAGAGACGCGCTTTTTTACGCAAATTCAAACAAATAAGATCGGGTAGGTGTCCAGGCATTGCAGACCTACCCGATTCTTTCTGACCGGGCTTTTGCAGGGTCATGCGCCCCGTTGGCGCATCATGAGCGTTGGACGTCCGCGTCTGATTGGATCACAACTAGTATGGGACTACCTACCCAAACGGAAGATTGAGAGAATAACATACCACCCTTGATCCAAATCGAGTGCCTAACGGTGCATATCCTCTTGGGTATACCTTATAGTTCGCCAACTACAAAACACCTTTCTGAACTCCGATTTAATTCTGACGATCTTCCTTCGAGTCAGAAAATGACTTTAGCATGTCGTCAACGTCAGCCTTGGGATAGCTCCAAAGTTAGTTCAAAGAAAGTCAAGTCTAGGGGGAAGTTTATCTGAGATATAAAGTTCGCAACCATTTATATGACAAACTCTAGCAGATCTAAAATTCGCAGTAATTTCGATAAACTTTAGCAAATGATTACTATGAGTAAAGAGCCGTTTGCTATGTTGCAAAACGCACTTGAAAGAGCTTCGGTAGTTTGAGACGTTGTATCAAGATCATTTCTTACATTTTTTGAGGAGTCATCAATCCAAACCATTGCATTGAAGAATGGATAGATGATCGAGTCTCTGTAATTTTATATGAGCGCTTTTTCAACTGGGAAATCATGGCGGGCAATTATCTGGTGCTTTCCATGTACTTCTTTATGGATTTAATCTCAGCTAAAATTTAGGTAAAAAATTCCAACTTTGGAATGAAGTTTCTCAACGAATGGGCTAATTCCGAATTTCATTTGCCCTATTCTTTCCACGGTAACGATCAAGGACCTTTGATGGTAGGTTTTAATCCTCAATCTATTATTATTAGTCTGCTCCTAAACAAGCGCTTGATTTGACTCATTAACGATTTATTCGAGAATGTTGATGGAGATTTTGTATGACACCACAATTCGTGACAGTTTTGCTCTTCAGATGCTTCTTCTGAAACTTCTGGTTCCTGGAAGCAGTGTTGAATATAGCGCTTGTGAGAAATATTGGAAGAAAGCTACAGACGTTAATACATACCTGGCTATGGTTTATTGTGTGAGGCAGGCATTGGGAGTGACAAAAATTTGGCCCGACAAAGTGCGTATATTTCGCAAGTTTCATGCCTTTGCTCGCGATGATTTTACCAATGGACGGTGGGTTTCAAGAAGAGGGAACTTAGAAAAAGTAAATTCTGCTTCTTTAGTTGGTGCGATGCAGATTTTATGTTTCACGGATGGAAAAGAGTTGAGCGGAATCAAATTTTTGAGGAGAATATCGATTTGAACCTGTGCGATCAAGGCATGAAAGCATGGAAATGGAAAAATAAGAATATAAGCGTGCAAGAACTACGGTATGCTATTTCAGCGTTGAATAATTACATTTTTCGACACTGCTGTATAGATTACATTCCGACACTACCATGTGTCGAATGTAATCGTCACCAACTATTTAGTTCGTAAATCCTTGAATTGTAGAAATTCATAAGTCCAAAAAATTCTCCAGTTTTCGTTTACAAATATGCAAATCCAGCATTCTCGGTATCATATATTCGAAATTAGTTTTTTTTGAGTTTTTGAAGTTGCCGTAATCATTACATGCAGTTTTGAACCCTCACTTTTCTTTTTATAGGTTTCTTCTCTTGCTTATCATCTTTCCTTTTTCTTCAAAACTTTCACCACTGTGTGATTGCGTTGCTGGAATCCACACCTCCTCAATCCTATTCCATCATTTCCAAATGAAGGCAGTATTGGTTGATCTTGACCATAGCTTGACAAGACTGGCAGAGAGAAAAGCTGAGTATCGTTTTGCGGAAAAAAGCAAAAAAAAAACATCGCTTTTGTGTGTTTCGGTTCTGAGCTCCGGTGTATGTTTGAGAATGCTGTGGCAATTATAATATTTTTAGAATCGGGGGTACCGTTTCAGCTCAGCTGGCACCGATACTTTGCTCACATGATTTTTCTAACTTTTATACGCGAATGTGATGACCATATCAAACGGTAATCATTTATGTATAAAAGTGAATTTCATACCCCTTCCATTTTCTACATTTCCTAGAACTTCCCAACGTTTGCCAAATTCGCTGAGCGGTGCTGCACCCTCAAGTTAAGTGGAATGCAGATGTATTGGTCTTCTTCTTGACATAAAAAAGTGGAAAAAGATACGCTAAAGCGGGACTTTCTTATCCAACCATGGGTTTTGCCGTGCAGCACTTTTCTCCTTTATCCCACGTCTCCACAATGCATTTGGTTCTGGTACCCCTCTACCTGTTGTCTCTTACTCAATTCTGGCAGACTGTTCATCATTTTAGACTTCCTGAAGCTTACTTACACGCTGAGAACGCCGCGAGTTTTGCTTATTGCTATGAAGAATGAGCTGGAGAAAAACCCGCCAATGCAAACAGTTTCTGCTTGCGGTGTTTTTACTCTGACTGACGAGCAATACGGACCATATAAGGCGCCGCAAGATAAAACGACAAGAAAAAAAATGTGTAAGAGCCATTGTAAAAACAAATGGGTAATTTTTCTGATTGGTTTTCGAAAGTTTTTAGAAGAAATTTGTCCTATGTTTTTTAGTTTTTTTTTTAAATTTGACACGGCCGCTTCAGGCGAGAACTTGCAACTTAAAAATGCTAAAAAAGATATTATATCTAATGCTTCCTTTCCAATTTTCATTTTTTTTGTATTTGCCACTTCAGTTTCCGCAAATATCCCAAACGAAAAGAATTTATAGAAACTTGTAAGACTCTCAATAATGTCTTATTGCATGTTATGCTTCGAAAACCGGACTGGTGCACAAAAATAGGTGCGGCGAGAGAATAGATCAGGTATAGTGTGGACCCCGGCCAGTTTCCCATAGGTATCTCCGCGGCGCAACCGCAGCGCGTGCATTTCTTGATGCTTCTCACCTCTAATGGGCAATAGAGCACATCTGCGCACCATAGAAGAGAATTGAGAAGTGGAAACCCGTAAATACACTTCGAAAGAAACGTATACAAGAATAAAACGCAACTTCCATTAGTACCTCAAATTCAATCAATGGCTGCAAATTTCAGACTTGCACCGATGGAAAAGCGATAATAAGTAAACTTAGAGCAGTATTTCCGTAAACAAATCCCTATCGGCTCCTCGAAAGGCCTAATTTGACTTGATACACTGTCTACACTCTAAAAATCAAGTCGAGAGGGACTCTTATTTAGTACAAAAAGCTTTTGGAGAAATATTCTCTCAGAATACACTGCAAATCTCAATCTCTCAAGAAAAAAGGGGAAAAACACAAGGCTAATACTCAAGACCAAAGCTCTCAGGCCTAGTAGAGCACGTGAAACTTCGTCACCGGTTATGCGAATTGTTTACACCTGAAATAGAGAGAATATAGTAAAAAAACAAGAAAATGAGAGAAAAGCAAGGAATTTCATCGACAGGAGGCGCGCTGAAGGCGTGCGTTGCGGATCCGTCGCGCAGGTACCTATGGGAAGCTGGCCGGGGTCCACACTATAGACACACAATAGACAATCTTTCATAAGTTTGTGATTTTTTAGCTGAATTGGTATATATTAGGTCGCTGCAAAAGTTTTGTCAGTTTTTTTCAATCCATCGGCAAACACGCTGGAATGAAGATAAACATCACTTTGAAATGTATCCAATGCAGACTTTCTTCCTCTTTCCAGTGGCTAAACTCCCATTGTGTTTCCTTGAGAGAGTGATGAGATATTCGCTGGCAATTGCAACCATTCGTTTTCACCATGTCCAACTTTCACTAATTTTCAAAACTTTTGTATGAGATTTTCGGAGGAGCCCTAATAACGTTCAGACAGTGCAAACCTTTTGCCAACAGAAGCAATTTTTTGTAGCCCTAAGGCTTGTCTTTCAGAATTTCTACGATTCATTTTTTGAAGTAACCAAATTTTGCATTCAGCCTATTTCAACCTCGTAGAACGTTGAATGTTAAACACTTCAGTCACCGTTCGATGCAACTTTTTCTCCTCCTTCTAACACTTGTCTTTTTTTGCTGAGAAAGGCGAAATTTGTGGGGAAAACCGCAGTATTTCTCAATTTCAGGAAAGCGCAGTGACGTAACCTATGTTTGAAAATCTTTATAATTTGAAGCAAAAATCGCTCATTTACTTTTTAGTGGTAGCGGTAGTAATAATCGAGTGTTGAAACCTCAGCATTCTGCAGGTTTTGCAGTGTTTGGTTCAATAACAGGATATGCGATTTTCCAAAACACAAGACTTTTGGAAAATTATTTAGCAAAAATCTCAAAAAAGCAGCTGAAAAGAAGAAAAATTTGCGTAAGTTGGCAAAAAGTTTGCCCTATCTGATGGTTATCAGGGCTCCTCCGAAAGTCTCATACAAATATTTTGAAAATTAGTGAAATATGGACATGGTAAAAACGAATGGTTGCAATTGTCAGCGAATATCTCATCAGTCTTTTAAGGAAACACAATGGGAGTATAAACACAGGAAAGAGGAAGAAATTCTGCATCGGATACATTTTGAAATGATTGTTTATCTTCATTTTAGCGTGTTTGCCGATGGATTGAAAAAACTGACAAAACTTTTGCACCGACCTAATATGTAGAAAACTACTGTATTTCTGGCAGGTACTGGACGGAGCATTGTATGCCAGCTATTGATAATGGCGCCCTATATAATATGGTTCCCATCCAGACATAGTGTTCATCAACGTTTTCAATTTTAGAGACGACGAATACATCAAAGTGACTGCAACTCATACCAAAAGGCTCACCATCATCGGGCGTACTAAGAGAATTGACAAATTTTTTTGCACTCTATCCAAATTCCTGCTCATTGCCACGAGCCATGCTGAATCACCAATCACTCTTTGATTCAACGGGATTGGCGCGGCTGGAAGGCGGGGCTTCGACGCCTAATCAAGGCTAGAGAATGCTCGGAGAGCACGCTCGCGAGAGGAACGCAGACTGGTCACGGTGCGAGCAGTCGCTTTGCAGCCGCGAATTCCGTTGAACCAGAGGGAACCTAGGTCCATAATTGTTTCTCTTAGAGCAAGCTCATTTTTATGCTCGTACATCCAACATGAGTGTTTCATCTGAACAAAAAGCTTAGCTAACACAGTCCAAGTCATATCATCCCGATTTCTCATTCTAAATTCTAGATATGAATAACATTAAACTTTGTATACAATAGCCTTATTTTCAGCATTGCCATACAAATCGCAGAGAAATTTTTTCGGGCTGCGTTCCCAAAAGAAGCCGAGATCCATCCCTTTCTGGACAATTTCAACATATCTCATTGTTACCCTGACTGTGACAAATTTGACCTTCATCTCTAAAGCTGTGTTCATGCGATATCTCGATGGTGACGACTATGCCAGCTGATATACTTTGCTGCTTGACGCCCTATATATATGCAAGGCGTCCCAAAAGTAAAGACACATTTTTGACTTTTGACACACAACTTTCTTCCCATAGATCATTGGATTAGACTTAGTACCATTGGCTTAAGCGGGCTTCAACTTAGATTTACATTATGGCGGGAATCACCCCTCTTACTTAGGCCCATATGCACGTATATCCCCGCAACGGAGGGGAGGAGATCTGAGAGAGTATGCGTCATCTCTCGCTATTCTAAATATCCTTATCCTTCTTTCTCTATCTATGTTATGAAGGTTCTACCTTGTTACCTGAGTAGAATGGTGGAAAGAACATTGTTATATAAGCTGATCTTTTCACTATGCCGTGTGATCACTTGGGGATCCCCAGGGAATCACCTCACATTTTCAAAGTCATTTAACTTCTTATAAACTAGATGAAAAAGCTGTGAGTTTGCAAAAAGTGTATGCCATGGCACTGCTAGATATGTTTGGAGTAGAAATTAGCGAAATCTCAGAAAATCGAAATTTTCGATGAGCCAGTAAGGTTCATCGAAGATTTCGATATCTTAAGATTCCGCTGATTTCTACTTTAAATACGTTCAGCAGTGCCATGGTATGTCTTCGGTACAATTTTATATCATTTTCATCCAGTTTCTAGGAAGATAAATGACTCTAAAAAATCTGTCTGTTCTCCTCGGGATCCCCTGGGGATCCCCAAGGGGTCACACAAAATAATGAAAATCTAATCTTGTATGACAGTACCTTGGCAGTGATTATGTGTAGGTATCGGGGTATGAGAACCTTCACAAGGCAGATAGAGAAAAGAGATATGACGCATCCCCTCTCCGATCCCCTCCTGAGTAGAAATTTTCAGAATACGTCGCCATTGTGATCTAGCCCTGTTTCAAAAGTAATTTCCAAATAACCTAAAAGTAGTGTACTATGGTGTACGCGCGCCGACTTCATCACCCATCTTCTCATCAGTTGGTGGAGCTTCTTAGGTGTAAAAACAGTTTTTAGAAGCAGCAGCTATTGCGGTCTACTTAGCGTAACTTATAAACGAAATATTGCGCCGAAGGGTGTAGCCCATTTAGTGTCAGCGGCTCTAAATAGCCTAGTGTAAGGATTTTCAAGCTGTTTGTTCTGCCTTCTTAGGCGAGCCGGGGCACTAATGACCCAAAAGTCTCCTTGAGCTTTATACAGTAATCCTACAGTAATGTGGAGCAATGGATGGTCCGCTTCATACCTTGAATTCAACTTGAAGCTTGCCCATGATCCTGGATTTAAGCAAAAGGCTCTGTGGTAAGAGAGTTATTATATTAATGACTGAAAAGTGTGTACTTACCTTTGGCAGACCCTGTATTTATTGTATCACAAAAACGTAGCTTATGCTTGACTAATTTGTTCGTAACATTCATGCACGAAATCTAATGTAATGCTGTGTTTTGCATTAGATAGAGTTGGTTGATCCATATGTTTTAAAATCCTGAAAATTTTCCTCCTCCTCAAAATTCAACCTTTATTCGACACGAGCGTCTCAAGAGTAGCGCTTAGTTACTCAAGCTTGTCTTAAACGCTAAAGGGTTGTAAAATTTAACTTGGCGTAGTTTTGGTTTTTACTCTTTTTGATCAATGAAGTAAATTTATGCGGACTGATCGTAATTTTGTAGCGTGTACTGGCAAAATCGCGTGTCGGGACTATGTCTGTAACACGCTCTACGAATTTCGTCACAGACAGATATACACACGCATGACAAGAGACGCCCTTTAAAGTTGATTATAGCACATTTGTAAGTCTAGATGTGCTTTCGGACTTGTCAAACAAGAAGTTTTTCATCAAGTTGAGCTACAAATCAGCCGAGGGTCATATTGGAGGAGTGGTAGTTTGCATTATTTTCAAGATAAGTACTCTACAGAGGTTGTTGAATGTACCAAACGTCCACAGTAACATGAGAGCGTTTTTTATAATCAAAATCATGTTTTTTGTTCGACCTACATGCACGAATGTTCGGCGATTATAGATAACACATTCATTTGTTTGTTAGATAATGATGGAAGTTTGGTGGTAGTAGTATGTGAAGATTGAGAGAAGAGATATTACGTCTCTTGCAACTATGCTTCAGACACTTGGAAGAAAACTCTTAATCCAAATATGGAAATTGCATACACATATACGGTGTATAAGAACATACAGCTTTATATCAACTGGAGCTACTACCACTTAAGATATCTAGTCGCCTTCTCAACTCCAATGTCCACAAAGGCTCAGTTTCCATGCACAAACAATAAAGCTCGACTGGCAATGTCGATCACAAGCCACAGAGCCCTCACGAACGTGCTCCTCCGTTTCTAATGCTGTCCTTCTGTTACCTTTGGGAAATCCGCTTGCGGGAGCAGTCCAGCTAACCCAAACATATAACCTAAAGGACACCGCTCGAAAGAAAAATTTATCTGCAGCTAACTAGGAATTATCAAAACGACGATAAGTACATAATGAACCGATATTGAAAGAGTTTAAAAAAGTTGTATGATGTTCTTTGTGTGGTCATGTATACAGCGCAGCTCGGTGACCCGCCCAGAATTATCCATAACTTACGGAGTACAGCGCTTATCGCGCCTTTACTGAGCCTACCCATCACGCTGACTGCTCGCCTGTCAGTTATGTTCCAGGAATCGGCTCTGCTCCAATAAGGAATGAAGAATTTTCACACATCATGAGACTCTTAAGAGCGTCGTAATGTCATATACGTGTCAAAAATATTTTTGAATTTGCAAATGATCTGCATCTGAATTTGGAAACTCAGTACATATGCAATGCATCTTATATGAATACAGTTCTTCTTTGAAGGCTGGCATAGTGACGTAAAACAACTTACAAAAAATTGAATAACACTCACTGAATATAGAAATATTGTAAAATGTTTTCACCAAACCATAATAAAATTTAATATTAGAATAAAATTTGAATATTTTCAAAACACTTTCCCCTTTATGACAAGCTTCGAACATCCTGTATGGATTAGGGAATGATGCGATAAGGCTTTCCTAGTAAGCTCATTGCTTGTTTACTATCAAATTCCAGAACACAGTGAGCCAAGCTTTTTGAATGGGCATTTCTTTGCAATCCAAAGTCACTTTTAGAGCATTTCTTACGCATGTCTGACTCTCAATCTATTAGGTTGGCGCAGAAGTTCATTCCCACCATTTTAGAATTAACCTCTTGTAAAACCTCTTGCTCACTCAACGGATTTGCACAAACTTAATTTTACTAGTAAAGAACATACTCTTTGTCTGTGCCTTTGCTGCCGTCTGATAAATGTGAGCTTTTTGAGATATAAGCAGAAAATTAAAATTACCTCAGTCACGGTCAATCCAAGTTAAGCTGGTGTAAATCTGAAACTTGTTATAAAATTCGTAACAAGCAGTGAAGTTACTCTTTTGCACCCTTTCCAACAGAGGCCCGTAGTAAACGCCTATTCATCTCAGGTGACTTGAGATTAGTCATTCAGAAGAACTTTCTTAGGTGAACCTAATCCCGCCCACCTTCCCGTGCTTAAGGATAGTCAGTTCAACAGTCAGAAAACTTCCAAGTTCGCCTTTCTATAAATCTTGGCATCTTGATGAACAATTATGTGCAGTTGTTGAGCCTTATATAGCCAAGATTGTTAAAGTTGTTTATTAGGCTAACGTTTCAGCTTTTCGCCTTCGTCAGAGCCTAAAAAGCGAGGAGCAACTGAAAGTTATCCACCAGATGTCTCATACACAAGGTAAAGTCCAAAGCTGCATTTCGCGTAGACAGCTCACCTCTTCGCCGAGCAAGGGACTGCCACCACCACTCGTAGGCGTTAAATGATTAATGAGCTAACGTGAGTATGGATGATGTTCTTATATCAAAACCCGCATAATTCCATAAATGGTGCGAGTTCCTTCGTTATAGCAACACACTCTTCCTTTCAATTCATTTTTGGATTCCTGGTAAGGATCCATCCGGCTTCTAAAGTTTTACGAGCTGCTGCCTCTGTTTCTCGCTCCAGAATCGACACCGAAATATCGAACTCTGCTTCTTCGTGGTGCAGCTTTCGATGCGTGCCCAGCGGAGTTGACATTCTTATGTTGCGCATCCCGTCCATGTGTTCCTTAATTCTGAGACGCAGTGGCCTACCCGTCTCCCCGATGTATTCATCGCCACATGCTTTACACTTCAAAAGGTGAATCACGCCCGAGCACATGCAATCGCCTTGTTTATTCGTGGCGCATATCAAGCAATCCGTTTCTGTGCAAGCTTTATCATTTGCTCTATTTCGTACCAAGCGCCGTTTAAGGTTTGGAGGGGGTATTTCGACAAGCCGCAATGAATCTTGCAACCCAGCTTTTCGAACACATTTTCTAATCGCGCTGCTCAATGTATCTGAAATGAAAGGGAGACAGAATGACACTTTATCGCTAGGGTTTTTATGCGGTCTGATGACGCGATGTACTCTTCTGGGTTGATATCCGTTAGCTTCAGCGATTTGGAGTGCTTTCTTGACTGACACAGCCTTTAGCGTGCCGTCAGATGACACCATTTTGGCTGTTCGGATCATGTTTCCAATTACACTGATTTTAGTACGGATAGGATGCGCAGAAGAGTAGTGTACAAGGATATTTTTGTTACTGGGCTTTCTGTACCAGCTGGTCCTGTACTCTCCTTTGTTCAAGTTTATCTGAACATTGAGGAACGGAAGCCACTCGTCCTTTGGCTTTTCCCTAGTGAATCTTATGTTAGCTGATTGCTTATTAAGTAAATCGAAACAGACATCCATCTCTGTCTGTGTCGAACAAACGATGAGAATATCATCGATGTAACGACAATAGAGACAATAACTATATAAGGCTCAACAAATGCACATAATTGTTCATCAAGATGCCAAGATTTATAGAAAGGCGAACTTGGAAGATTATGACTAAAGTGCCAGCCGAGTACTTTCGACTTATAAAGGAGGTGTTATCGCTCAGGCAGAAAATAGTGATGACGAGACAAGCGATCCATTTCCTTAACCGTTGTTTGGAGCACCGGTTGATTCCGAATTTCATACAAAAGAAACAACTGCACCAA